ATAAATTTTCGGGTTATTATTATACGGACACTGAAACACCCCTTTGCCCTTTCGAAAATCCTAGCTGCAAGCGGGGTGGAGCTTTCTACTGCTTCTATCAAAGTATGCCACGTGTACATGTATTCTATTGTGCCTCCGCATCGACGCATCATTTAATTTATCTGCGACTTTCCGCTAATGAGTCTACATTTACTGCGTAATTTAGTAGTACACGTCTTTGGGCAAAGTGTGAAGAAAAAAAGTTACTAAGTGTGTTGAATGTACTACGTACAGGAGTGGTATGCAAGGTTCCTAAAAGTTAGTCGGCTTCGTAAGTCTCCTGCTCTGTAGGGATAAAGTCACTGTTCATGTCTTAGACGTATTCTACCGGAATCTTGGCTAATCTGCTCTACTCTAGCCGGATGCTAGGGTTTTTACGGAACTTGTTGTAGCGTCTGACGATCTTAAGGATATCGATAGGTCTCCGGTGAACTTGCAGCATAGCCCACGCGACATCACGCTTCCTATAATCCATACGCTTCCAAACTGCGAAGGCCTTGAAGAGCTCGTCGTCGCTGTTTACCATAGCGTTATACTTGTCGGCATTACGTAGCCACAGTCTTTCGATTTTCTCGGCGGCAGCCAGATTAACACCTATTTGGACAGGTCGATCGCTCTCTCTTGGTTGTCTTTGTCATCCAAATGTGAGCGAAGGAATCTGATGTCGTTCGTGTTTCCAACAGGAGAGGGGACCACATCGATAGGCACCCTCAGATTCGGAACCCGATCGGTTCTTGCAGCCACAATTGCGTTTGGGCTCATGAAGATTATAATAATGGCACCAAGAAAAGCAATTGACTGGCGCATAATCCGTTTTCACTTGAGCTCTATCGAGCAGGTGCGCCTTGAGGGTTAGATGAAAAATTGCCGAATGAATCGACATGAATTCATGAATGCCTTGCTATAGTGACGGATTGATATCCTGTACAGGTCAGTCACAATGCAAAAGCGAGCTCACTCTGTCAGCAGTGATTACTTTCGCCTGTACGTAATCATGATAAGTTGGTACTGTAGTCAGAATATCCTACCGTACTTATTGTGCAACGCAGATATTTTTTGCCGATATTTTAGGTGCTATAAACAAAATGCTACGAGCTTTGCAGCTCGTAGCACTCCGAAACATGACAAGTGAAATTTGTGGTGTCAGGCAGCCTGCAGAGAGTAGCCACCGGGTAGGTCAGCTAAATTCTACAGCCGTCGAGCAGTTGGTGATCACAAATAACAGTTCGCCATATGTCGCAACGTGGGAGTACGCCGGTTATTGCTTCGTGTTGATAGAGTACCGATACCTCGTGGGCAGTAAGAAATGGCAATCAAGAATAGTCTCCTATACAATATATAAGGAAGCTATAAAAATAATAACTTGGACAGTCTTTCCAGCTTATGCATGATTCAGAACCTCTATTTCGACAATACCTTGAAAATTATATTCATACCAGGGCTTCCTTCTTGAGGCAAAATACAGTATTTGTTTATCTCGCAAAAAACTACACACCTATATTACCCTACCAATCCGTGTAAGTTTCTCTAAAAAAGAAATACCTTTATTCTGGGTAATTGTTTCAAACGGTGAAGGCCCAGTGAGCTCAGAGTTTTTAGGCTCGTTCTGATTCGTTTTCCTGTCCGGACATTATCGCTGTCAGTCACTGACAAAGCTCTTATAGTAATGAGTACATCCTTGCTAAATATCCGTTCTAACCCTATAAAAAATATCCGCCTATATTTTAAAACATGTAAGACTGTGACGCGATGCTTTCGTTTAGAGAAAAGAGGTCAAAATTCTGTTTCGATTGGCAACGTCGACAGGATCGGATTAGCACGTCATCGAGTCTTGTCCCAATACGAATCGATCGATCGAATCCTGGTCGGAATCCTGCCTTTTGGTTCCGCCTTGTGGAATGACCTGTTAAAACTTATATTAGTGTTCGCACAAACACTAAATGTGTTGTTAAGGAGTCTATTTGCCAACCGTTTGTTGTAAATGTAGCTTACATGTTGGTGGAGTTAGACTAGTTCCTCGTCAGCTTCGACATTATGCCAACAAACTTTATTTGCACAATGTATGACGGGGTCACACAGCACCTTGCACAGAGGGAGTGCTTAAGGGTATTTACTACCCGAGTGACCGTTTCTTCACTTGTTCTCGGCCCCAGTGGGAACGATTTGATACTTAGAAGAGTAGCTTCAAGACTGATGTATTTATAAGAAAGCTTACTTGGGTTCCATTACAAACTATATAAGGCAAAGTGTCAGTTTCGTTGCCTCGACCAGTTTAGCAGCCTCGGTCATATTTACATGTCATAGTAAGCTAGACCGATGCCAAAGATCGTAATTGGTTAATATTGAGCTAGCGAAGTTTCACCTGTTCTCCTCCAGCAGTTTATACTCTGGCCACACTTTCGCTTCTCCACCATGAGCAAAATGCGCGCCAAGTACAGCGAAGCAGAGCTCCATTGCGCCGTCCAAGCCGTTCTCGCTGGCACAGAGTTAAAGGCAACAAGTGAAGAAATAAGATCGCGCATAGTACGCTAAAGCAAAACGTGGCTTCTGCACGTAAAAACAATCCTCACGAGTCCAAGCCTCCAAAGCTTTCGAAGAGTGCCGAAAATGGCATTAGAGACTGAATCCTTCAGCGACAGATGACCGGCCATCCTGTCCGACGGCAAGATGTCTTGCACAGGGCACAGCAGATTGCTGAGATCGTGTGTGGTGTGAGTGTAGGTGAGGGGTTGGCTGCGGCGCTTCATTTCGCAGCTGTGATATTTTCCCGCCTTCATGTCCTAACGTGCACGCCAAGCTGGTCAACTTTAAGCGAAATGGTTCGCCTCAATCTTACTGCAATACAGCGTTCGTCAAGGTCTCTAATATTCTTCACCAAGCGATTTTTAGTGCCTCCTGCACCACGACTGAACAAAACAAGGAAGCGGAAGAGAACAAAGACGTCCGGTCGCATACTTACTCGTGAAAAGACTTAAGAAAAAGACTGAAGTGCCGACGACGAAGCCTTCGCGACGCAAGAAACCGGTAGGACAAAAAACGGCAGTTGAGGCACTGCCGCCCTTGTTAAAGGCGTGGATTCAACCTTAACCCCTCTGTTGCGGCCAAGAGCGCGTGAACCACTAATTTTACGTCATAACTTACGGCGTAGCTTTTACCAGCGCGTTTGTATGGTGCTGTATCTTCCACTCGGCTATCCAGCACGATGGGAGGTATATGTTCTCAAAGGTTTTGACACACTATGTCGTATATCATACGACGTAAGGATGACTCGATGAAGCGGAGAAAAATGCAACGTGCGGTATATGACGACGAGCACCATTAACAATGAAACGAGCTCGAGTGAGCTGTACAGAAGCACGTTCTTGACTGATGCCAGGAGCTTGGTACGTGACAGCTCCGCAAGTGCTGGATACAAAACTCGATTGGGCATGTTGTACAGAATTACTTGGTGCACACCTAGAATTATGTAAGTTCCACAAAAACCATTCCGTAGCTCTTAGTACGTACAGTAGACAATTGGGAGCACCACTTCAACATACTCGATTAATACGATGTATTCCGTGATGAAGAGCACTTGGGTCGTTTTGCGAATGAAAAGAGCACGTTGCTCATACGAAAAAGTCGCCTCGAGTGATTTATCCCAATCCACCGTATTGTTGAGGGCTATTATCCCGGCCAAAAAGGCTTGGACAAAAATGGTAATATATTTTATCTTAAATTAGAGGAATGTAACTCCGCAACCGTAGAACCGATTTCATTGTGTGTCCCCTTAATAGATAGCTTGGTGTCTATTTATTCTCGTAAGAACTTCACAGCATCTAATAATGTTCACTACTTTTCAAATGATCGCCTGCTGCTGAGAAGTACTTGGTTGTGAAGACCTACGAGTTCCTCCGCCAAAAGAAGGCCTCGGCACCGCATCTATGGAAAGGAGGAGTTCGTTATCATGTCAAAGAGTGTTTAGGCTTTGCTACGGGCACCATTTCAGCTATATGGGCGCACTGGGAGCAGCACCACGACAAGAATTTCACCTCGGTAAGCTGTACTTCATATCATTTCAGTTATTACTGATATTCAACATTTCAGTGGTCGACAAATTAATTATGACAGATGGAAGGTCCAAAATGAAGCTGTAGCCGATTAGGAATGACCCGTTGTATGTTCTTTACACTCTATATATTCTTTTGACGGGCTCTTTTTAACAAGTTTATATTTTTCTAACAATCGTCAAATTGCGGTAATATTTGGAATTTATCCATCCGGTTCTGAAAATCCATCCCGGCTATGCCAATGAATATGTATGGATGTTAGTACGTGGCAAGCCCACAATTGCAAACAATTCTGCAAGAAATAGAGCCTTTTTTTAACGGCCGATTGGGAGACCAATGGTTGCAGATACGCAAAAATTAACTTCAAAATCGGAATCTACGCCCGATTTTACCCCTTATATCTAACTATCGTTATGGGTTTTGTGAAGGGAAGGGTTACCTTTTTTGGACCAAAGTTTGTCCAAGGTTTGGTGGCCGGGATAATAGTGGACTTACAGGTTGGTAATTTCTCTTGCGTTTGAACCGGGAAAACTCGTGTTTCTTCGAAAGCAACTTGTGGTTGCATGTTGTAATCTCTGTCAGAGTTGTGACCAGACCTGCATCTCTAGCAATAGAGGCTTTGATCGAGTCTTGTGTGCCTGTGGACCTCATGCACTCTTCTACCCTTGATGATTCCAGTTCAAGTAATCGCGCTGCTATCTGAGTGGTTCCCTCTTGCGCAATTGGATGGCTACGAGGGATCTTTGCTAAGAGGGTCTTCATCTCATTCAAGCGTCAAAAATGTTAAGCATGGACGCACAAAACTGCAAGAAATCTAAGGTTATAATCGTTGCTGTTGTTTTCCACGACGACGAATTATTGAGTGCATTCGTGATGTAAAGAGCGTTTAAAATCTCCACAATAAAAAGAACGCTTTCAGGCTTGCGATCGTTGTCTGTGTGTTGACGACTGATCCTATTCTTCGCGACAATTGGAACTATTGGTAATATCATTACGAACATCGCTTGGTAAACGCCAGTAAGCGAGACAAATCCGAAAATGTAGATCGGGTAGATGAAGGTAAGTGCTACAAGGCAGTTGTAGACCGACAACTGTCGCTTGACGTCTTCCCATAGGGTGGGGTCAGCTCTCCATCGAGGTCTCGAAATGTAGATAAAGCACGCTGAAATCAAGATGGCATTGGGTAGTCCCACAGCGAGTAAGCCGAACGGTAACGGGAAGACAGTCAGAGCAGCTATCCCAGCAACGATAGCCATGGACATGGTGGCTGCAACAAAAGCAGAGAGTATCACTTGACGCCAAGTCATTCTAACCTGAGGTACACTGTGGCCCATTTGGAGGAGCAAATTTCCACTGATGAAAGCCAGCACCAACGAACCACGGACGAAAAAAACTTTGTTGTGAAACACACCCGTTTCTGGAGGGCTGAGAGGGGGCACTTCTGTAAGTAAGCTGATTGCGAGGCTTGGTAATGGCATCAAGGCTAGTACTGCTAGAAGTCGTGGCGTTTTCTTTGATTTCGAGTACGAGTCTAGACTCTGAAGACGGTCTACGGAGTATCGACCTTGAAACTCGACTTGGACTGACACCCATGCTGCCCTAAGGTGACGGCGTGTGTTCTGAATCCGGTTGATCATGTGTTGAACAATGGCAGTGTGCAGCCACGCCGCGCTCATATTTCGCCTTGGCATCATACCAGAAATAACCAGCTATTAATATTAGATGCGCTTATCCAAAATGAGAACGTGCGAGCTATTGTGGATACGTTCGTTCGCGTCGCCAGCTTCAGTTCGAGGTAGTATAGCAATTATGACCATAATAGTAGATGCCGTTGCTCGTGGGGATTATTCTAAAGAAAGGTTTTAAAAGCAGAAGCTCACCAGGCTCTTCAGATGCTACCTCATAGGTATGGGAATTCAGCGAAGTCAAAGTCACACCGTGCATTGCGCCACGAAGATCATCTCTGCTAGTTCGACTGAAGGTATTCGAATGTCATCCTATCGACCGCCATACTTAAATCAACGACGTATGCTGCATTAATTTCGTGTAGCGGTAAACAAGGCTAAACAAGGCCTCACAAAGCACTGCTAGGAAACCTTTCTTTTGTGATGGTTGTATATGACTTATAAGTGGGAACCCTCTTTTATCAAGCTACGCCTCGGATCGCCTTTTCGGAAGCGTTTTACATTCCGCAATAAAGACTATCTAAGCTCTTTGAAAATTTCTCCGAACTCACTCTTACATAGTAAAATATAAGAAAAGGCGTAAGTTAAGCGCGTGTGCCATAGCCTCGAAATTGAATACACCTTGAGTATTTACAGCTTAATTTCCACTTAATTTTGAGTGTTCTCCTCTCATAGCGCATCTTCAAGTCTAAACTAAAAATCTACAGCCACAAGCAAAGTAGCTATGACAACGCGATCAGCTTGATGGATATTGTCTGTGACTCACTATTATACACTGGGGCGATACACAAGTAACATATTATTATTTCGCAGCACAATTTTCGCGACATAAATTTGCAGGCAAAGCAGATTATTCGTGGGCACAGTTTTCAAATTTATGCTCACATACATGGGATCAAAGTCAGTGAGCTGCAAGTACCAACGGTTAGCAACGTGTACACTGTTTGCGGTCCAATAGGTAAGGCCGGCAAGATGAAATAGCCACGCTCTAGCTCCACGCAGCGACATCCCGTTACTTCCTGATTTCAATCGGACCGTTTTCCGAGCTACCTAAGGGATCTCTTACAAGGAATGAGGCAGAGCTCAAGATTTTTTTTTAAATACTCGCAATTTTCGGGTTTGGAATGGTAGCAAAAAAACGAAACTTTGATGGAAAAAAGGAATCGGTCCAGGTTGGCTACTTGTTAACGTGACTCGCGATAAGATGGCCCACATACAAAAATTAGAAAGTTGTCGCTGCGCTGGGGCTGTCCATGGCATGAGTACAGGTTAAGGTCCTCTTGAAGTTTGCGGGCGGCAAGGGCCGCTATACGCCACCGAGATGCGGCGCTCCGGGCGTTTGCACATGACATCGGTCAAGTCGCAAATGGTCGAATAGGTAACGCAGTCGGTACCACAAACTGGTGCTTCGCCTGGCCCGCTCCCGCAATTGGTAACTTTGCACGGGTCAACCGTTGGCCAAAAACAATTGACGACGAGATCGCCATTGTTAGGAGCGCGAGGTAGAAACCAATCTTCATCTTAGAAGTGATGTGATGCTGTAATGAAAATTGGAGAATGAACTGCGAATACATGCAGTAGCACCTTCCTCTTTCTCCTTGATCTTTTGTACCGCAAACAACGATTGCGGGTAGTAACCGCAATCACCATGTACAATTCACTAAACATCCGCAATCACTTGTGATGTCTTGGTTTGTTTCAAATCGTCGCCTTATTTTATTAATAACATCCTATTAAAATGGGATAGCTACAGTACTTGATTTAAGTATTACTTTTTATGCTCATAACCACCTGTAGATTTGATGCCATAATTAATGGATTTGATTCCCGTAAAACATTTCTTATAATTCTTCAAATATGTTAATAAAGCGCTCTTAATATTCTTCAAATATGTTAATAAGAACGTTATGGGAAAACGCTAGCTCTAAAGTTCTCTTTAAAATTCCAAATTTGTTACATCACCGAAAATTGTCGTGATATTAGCGCTTTACAGCTATTGTGCATATCAATGTTTTTGTCTTTTTTACTTAGGCTGATGCTTGATTTGTAGTAAAGGACATATCTGACAGGAGATATGGTTTTTCAAGAATAAACCCGGGCAATTTATGGCCCAGCAATATTTAAAGCAAAAAAATGTTTCAAACTCTACGTGACGCAGAACCTATTAATAATAATACTCCTTGTTAGAAAGCTGCAGTAAATTTATAAGTTCCATGCTGGTTCTTCTAACCGTCCACTTCAGCTAAGTGCGGTAATATATTTGACCATGCATGCTGCACGAATGGAGCTACATGTAGGCTAGTGCACCTGTTGGATTCTACAAAATCAATAGCTGATTTTAGATTTGGAATGTGCTATCGCTTTAATGGACTTCTCTTTGTTCTCTGGAATTTATTTCAGAGGTAAGGAGGGGTGTTCTTGTGAGAAGTTTTACATTCCGATAAAACGAGGCTGATGTGCCAGCAGGGAGAAGATATATCTTCTTATAAATTCAAATAATGTTTATTATTAATAGTATCTGATTGAAATAGATCGAGTAGCTAAAATAATTGATTATTGAGCGTGGTTGTATTGCAATTATTATTATTGAGGGTTGTTAGATACAAAGATCAAGTTCAATATAGTCATAATTGTATTGTTGTAGGATAAGTCCCTTCGGTCCGGAGACCCCACCCCGTACTGTAAGCTAAAAAAATCCACAGCCAATCGCTGGACAGCATGAACTTTTATTTGCTCAAACCACCCAATAACCGCTATTTAGGGGTAGGGGTAGTTTATTCCAGCTTATTTCCGGAATTGTCCGGCTTTCTCGACATTTCGCGATAAGACGCCTTAGTAAAATCAAGTCACATCATGTATTATCGCGTAAAAGGCGTCTGTACCAGATAAAAAATTCATGCGGTTGAAGAGTAAATATAGACTAAAACTTCACGATGAGGCGCCATGCAACCGGAGGAGAGCTTCGCGAGGTCTGGACACTCCTGCTGGCACAATAGGGCAAGAGATTGCGGCGGAGAAGATGTTTGAGGAGTTCCTCACTTCAATAGGATTATCGAAAGTCGATTTAGATGGCATACATAAAGCTCATAGAGAGTTAGCTAGTCTCCCGACCCAGAACATGTACTCATTGCTAACAGCTTTTTCGATTTACATACAGACGAAGAAAAGCAACAAGGCGAGAGCGGCGGATGGACTACTAGCAAAATCGACAGCGCTAGGGTATTTTTCACAAGTTGTGAACATGCTTCGCGAGCGCTACACCAACTCTCTTGGTGGCCTTAAGAGAATTGCCAAGATTCGGGACAAAATGGCTAGTTACATAGAAGAGAGGAATTTGCGCGCAAATGTGCAAACCAATGACGCTCCTGGGTGTAACGTGGATGATCTAAGTGTACTCGTTGGGTATCTAATT